CTTGGAGAGCAAGAAAAAGAAGAAAAAGACAGACGAATATCGTAGTTTGTTGGTGGACGTATTCAGACTTGACGTGCGCTCTTAATTACAGAGGCGAAGCCGTCGAGTTGAACGTGGGCTTTTGGCTGTTATTGGAATCTTCCGTCTGCTTAATCACTTGGTCACCAAGCAAAAACTAAGCCAAACCAGGCCTCCTTCCCAAGGTTTCGTTACCGTTACAAATAAATAAGTAATCCAAATTTGGTTATGAATTAATATTGCATATTTCAGTAGCTCAAATGGTTAAGACACCTATCCCGACTTGGCGACCAAGCAAAATTCAATGTCTTTTTTTAGTACAATAGGTAACTATGCTCACTTTGACAAACAAAACTCATGGTTGATTATATCGTTGCCTTGCCTTTCGTGCATTTCGACTTCAAGATCTCCCCATATCCTTTTCATACTTTATATTTCATTTCTGTTGGTTGGGAAATCCTTTTGTACCCTAATTATGGTCCTTTATACTAGTTGGATTTAAACTTTTTTTTTCTTTAATTAAATAAGAAAAATAAATCAATCAAATGAGTGGAAGTTAACTATTGAATCGTTATAATAAAATTTCTTGTTAGATTATTGACCGTACGTCAATCTTGTATTTTGATAATGATAAAAACATTTTATATATTATTTACAATAACCATTTCATGTTTCTAATATTTTGTTAAACGCTTCCTTTGTCCCAAATCATTCAATATAGAAGGAATATTATTGAGTTTTCTTCAAAGTTAGGGAGATTTCTTATTTTTCGAAACTTGGCCCTTCACGCCAGTTTATCTAAATCTGCGCATTGTAATGCAACAAAACATGTAAGTTTTTTTTTTCCCCTTAAACAATGATTGCAATTCTACATCACCGTTAATTTGTGTAGTTCCAATGCAACCAAAAAAAAAAAAAGATAATTAAGAACAACATAATTTTGTAATTATTGTGACGAATATTTTCTCTGTAGAGGAAATATTTCTCACTTATTTAATTTAATTTCATTATACATAAAGATACTTTAGAGATTATTAATCATATTAAAGTTTGAAAGGTTTGAGGAACTCATTCAATATGATCTGATTCTGTTACCTATTTGAAGATATGTTTGTGAAGACTGGTAAGCCTATTGGAAGCTTCTAGAATGGTTTCTCTGTGGCCGAAGGAACTGACTCTTATGTACTCTTCGCCGGCGGGCCCGAATCCTCTCCCCGGAATCGTCACGATGTGCGTCTTCTCCAGAATCTCGGCAAACAGCTCCCAAGAGCTCGATCCTGGAAAATGCACCCACAGATACGGTGCGTTTTGTCCCCCGTACACCTCCATCCCCAGCCCTCGGAACGCCTCCACCAGAATCTTCGCGTTCTCCTTGTAGTGGTTCACCACTCTGCTCACTGCCTGAATTTTCAACCGTAAATCAGAGAAATCGGAGAAGAAACTGCCGCATACACGGCGGCGCCAACCGTCACATTGCGATAATTTAATTTACCTGGAAGCCTTCTGCAGAGAGGCAAGCTAGGCCGCCGGCCTGCACGATGTTGGAGGCGCCGTTGAAGCACGTGCAGACGATGCGATCGTAATCTTTTATGATCGGAAATCCGTTAGAATAGGAGAGCTCCTCCGGAACCACCGTCCAGCCGAGACGGACGCCGGTGAATCCGGCGAATTTGGAGAAGGATGAAACTTCAATCGCGACCTGCGGGAGGCGAATAGAGGAGGATCAAGCGTCAATTTGAAGGAAAGGAGAAGAAAAAAAAATTAGGGCGTAGAGATTAATTTAATTTGGGGAAATTGCCTGTTTGGCTCCGGGAATTTGGTAGATGGAGGTAGGGCTGCCGTCGGAGATGTAAGCGGCATAGGAGGAGTCGTAGACGATGAGGGAGCCATTGGCGGTGGCGAAGTCGACGAGACGACGGAGTTGGGAGGCGGAGGCGGCGGTTCCGGTAGGGTTGTTCGGAGAGCAGAAGAAGATGATATCGGTTCTGGGAGTGTTTGATAAATCGGGAAAAAAATCGTTCTCGGGAGCGCACTTCATGTACACGATTCTTTCGTATTTACCGTTTTGCCCTTGCAGCTCCCCCGCCCGTCCGAAGATCACGCTTGAATCAATGTATGCCTTTGCAAAGAAAAAATACAAATTGTAAAAAAATAAAAATAGAAAGACCAATAAAATAATATACTGATATATTTGGTTTTTTTTCTTTGTTTAAATCTTATTTTGAGCCAAAATTAAATATCTTTGTTGATGCACTTAAAATTTTTTTTTAGTACAATGTGTGGTGGTTGGATTCGAACTCACAACCTCCTAATTAGAGATATATGTTGATTATTGTTAAATTATGCTCGTTTTCACTTATAAATAATTATCTTACTTATAACCTAGTTTCGAATATATGTATTAATGTGGTTACATAACGTGTATTTGAGCTAGATAAAGTTAGGCAACTAAAATAGATATTTTAAGAAGTCTATAGAGAAAAATAGTTTTTTTTAGTTTAGATACTAAGAGTCTATAACAAATATTTTAAAATTTTTAAAGATAATTTAAAAATATATGAACTTGGTAGAATAAACTTTCAAAGTCAAACACCAAAAATAAATTTTTAATAAAACATTCTTATCTTTCCAAATAAAAATTAATTGACTTTAGTACATCTTTTAATTTGATTAAATAGATACGTCTCTTATTAAAATAAAAAGTCTACCCATATATCTAACGCAGTACTTATAACTCATTCAACTTAAAATAAATTGTTACATACAAAATAAACTCATTAAAAATAATAATATACAGACAACAAGTCATTCATGAAAAATACTATTGTTTAAATTCATAGGTTAGTCATATGCGTGCACGTGCTTTAATAAGTATGAACCATAAGTTTAAATATATTTTTATTGGTCAAATTAAAAGAATAGTCAGTGGAACTTACGGGGAAAGAAGGGTCCTGCACAGCCACCGTCACATTGGATCCCAGAAGCATCTAAAAAAAACATAAATATTTTTTATAAACAAAATATTTTATTTAATTTTGTGTGACTTTCGAACACTTGTTCACACATATATCTATTGGTTTTCTTTATGTTAAATTTATAGATACTAAAAAAAATATTTGAAAGTTTAAAATAAGTTGATTTTTTATCCTTTTTTCTGTACTGAGGAATAAATAAATACCTGAATGCGAGAGATGTCACACTGAGCTCCATCGGAAACAAAAACTTCTTCTCCCTTTATGCCCATGTTTTCGTAAAACTTTTCTGCAATTCTCTTTCTCAGTGCCTAAAGAAAATTTGAGGAGTTTAAAAGTTTGAAAAAAAATAAAACAAAAAACAAAACAATTTGTTACGTATCATGTTAAAAATAAATTGTGAAATTTACCTTGTTGCCCTGCTCGTCTCCATACCCACTGTAGCCTTCAACAGTTGATAAATCAATTGCTTTCTGCATTGAAAGTAGTGAAACGTCTTTTACTATATCTATTTTTTGTACAGATCTTTCCTAAGTTATTATTAGAAAAAATGAAAAGAAAAAAAAAACCTCTGGAGTTACTATATAGTATATACTCATATTCTTATTTGCTTTATTGATTTTGTTAATAAACTGTGTTCCTAATAATTGAAAAGTCAATGAGTATGTTACAAATTTACAAAATTCAATATATAATTGGAAAATATTATGACAAAAACGTTTTAACAATTTAGAAGTCAAAGTCAAAAAGGTTAGTGGGTAGGACGTAGAAGAATACGACAGAGGGCCTTCGTGTGTAATTTACCCAACTAAGAAAGGATATAAATGGAAAAAAAAAGGGTTCGTCCAATTTTTATTCGCCTTATTCATAATATCATGTGCATGTTGGCAGTCAACATGCAATTTATTTTATTCATTTATTTTGTAAAGTTGAAAATTGGATTTGAATATTCTATATTATGATATGATTTGACTTTAATTTGAAGTTATCAACTTCAAATTATAAATCTATACACTAAACATAAACGCTACATATATTTTCATATAAAATCTTAAGTTGATAGGTCATAATAAAATAAAGAATTTGAATACATAACCTCCCATAATATAATAACTTCAAAGTTTGAGACAGTAGATTACCATAAATTTAATCTTCTATTGGTACTTTTTTAGTACACAATCTCTACTCTACCTCCAATCTCATTCAAATATCCAAATTTTATATTAAAATTATGAGCATAAATCACACTTATCTTTTGTTGATATATGTTTAGTAGTTTAAAGATAACTGAGTTTTTGTACATGTGGATTAGATGATGATGAAGTGAGATCGAGTGCTAGCATTGTTAAGAATGTTTGAGGTGCTACATATTGATTTTCATCACCAATTATATTTAAAGAAAATAAAAAAGATTGCCAATAAAAACTTAACATTAGTAAGGTTAGTTTGGTTAGATAGAGAGTCATACCATTAAGCAACTAAATTATTATTATTATATATTTAAGAATTAAAAGATTATTACTTTAGTCATGGCGAATGCGATACAGTTTGGTACAGGTTCTGTAGTGTCGCCTATACCAAGTCTGATTATCTTTGCATCTGGATGCTTTTGAGAATGTTCGTATTCTCGCATGGATATCTGGTTCAAATTAAACATTGTATTTTTTAAATTTCATTACAAAAAAAGACACAAAAAAACAATAATAATAATAAAGTTATTTTTATTTGCTTATATTTATTTAAAAATAAATGTGTGTTTGTAATATTTGTTTTTTATTTTTGTTATTTTTAAAAATATTTTCCAAAACTATATAAATATTTTGAAAAAGAATTAAATCTCATGTTTGTTTTTAATTTATATCCTTCCAAAACTTCAACAAAATTGCCAAAGAAATAAATTAAATTTGAATATTCGTCTTCTTACATTAATTTTAAAAAATAATAAGAAAAATTAGAGTCAACAAATTTTTTAATTTAAAAAATGTATATATTTTTTTAATACAACGTGTATAAGTTGAATAACTCCAAATTTTGTATTGAAAATTTGTTGAACTAAACTTAAATCAATAATGTACTAAAAAAAATCGATAAAATAAATATATTTATAAGAGTTATTTTCAAAGGGAAAGAAAAATCAACAAGTGGTGTGGGTTAGACTTGGACCGTATCTATCGTATGTGTACCTCAGGGAACAGATACCCACTCTGCAGCTTTTCCATATTGACGCTGCGTCTGACTTTTGTGCAATGACCTACACGTGTCAACGTCACACTCATTTCTCAATCTCATCCATCAATTCCAAATTTTTCTCAGGAAAAAAAAAAAGAAAAGAAAAGAAAAAAGTGTCGCAATTCAAAATTCCCCCTTTTCTCACATTTAAAAAGTATATACTGAAAACGAGATTGATAATAATTCGAAATTTTTTCTTTAATGCATGTAACGATTATAAATATGATAAATATATTAGATTATTTGATAATTTGAATAATTGTGTGCTATCTTTTTTTTCAAGCACCAAAAATAATAATAACAATAATAATAAATGGTATGCTATCTCACCGATTTCTCTCTCTTCCACGGGCCTCAAACTGCGTTAAAATCAATCAAAACAATACAACAAATCAAAATTAGCTTTAATTCATATGTTTAAATTTAAAAAGACATTCGTAATACTCGTTTTTGCCGTTTGTTGCTAAACTTTTATATTTTAATATTTAATACAAGTCTTATGTCACACAAATTTTTTAAGTTTGTTACCAACAATAAATGACCATAACAAAAACCAAAATATATAAAATTTGAATAAATGTATAAACAAGTGCATTGAAACTCTAAAGATAATAGAAACTAAAACGAAAAATTATTCGGAACCGTCGCGACTAAAAAATGATGAACATGGTACCTTTCAACTTCAAGATTGGTTTTGGAAGCATGCACCATTTGCTTCAACATTCTGCCTTTGAATGCCAATTTTTCAGGAGCTATACAACTTATGTTCTTATACAATAAATATGCCCATCAAAGTGCGTGGGTCTCTATATATATATAGCAGAAGTTTAGAGAGGCCATTTTAAAAAATATAATTAAAATTAGAAAATTCTCCACTTTGAGAGAGAGAGAGAGAGAGAGAGTGAGGTGCACGCGCGGACGGGTAGGCGAACTTTAATTTTCCTTGTTTATTCCACAAAACGACCAAAAAGTGTTCACATTGAAGACTTTGTAATATTACTCAGAAATTTTGCAGTGGGTAATTTTCTTTTCCCTATGTGATAATTGTAATAGCATTTTCTCCTGTTTTTCTTACTTTTATTTTAAATTATAATAGATTTTATCTGACATACCAGTATTATATTTATTAATTGAACGGCGCCAATCACTAATTTACAAATTAACTATTGCAATTTTGTGCTTCGGTCTGGTCATTTCTTTTATTTAATGGTATATTTTGGAAAGATTAATGATGTTAATAATAATTAATATCATTTATCAAAAAAAAATAATAATATCAACTACTACTTGGTTTGTTATTTTATACTTTAATTTGGGTTTTTAAATAAAAGACTTGAGATAAATATTAAACAATATACTTTAAAAAATAGCAAAAGGTAAATTCTTGTCCAACTCTATCGACAATGAAACACATAAGAAATTATTCAGATAACCATCATGGACTTCGAATACATTTCCCCAAAATCCTTTTGATTTTGCTTGGCCCCTTTAGACTAACGAAGACTCATGATGATCAAAATAAATTCTCTATCTTCATCTATTAAACGAAAAAAAAAAACTATTTTTATCCATCGTAAAAATTATATACACATTGAGCTTTTTTTTTTCTTTTTACGAATAAACTATACAACATAATTTTGTCGTACCCGTGCATATGTGTTATATATTAATCTGTAAGTTATGTCTTGAAGATTAATGGTCGATCTTCATAGTTTTTATTTGGTATCCAAAAAGAGAGAAATATATTCCATCATCGTTTTATTTCATGTAGATGTAGCAGCCTCTCTTTTTGGACAAATTTCAAATCCAAAACAAATACAAATTTATATCTTTTATTCTCAGAGTACAAAAATCTTGACTTTTTATACTGTCAATCCCATTTGCCACATAAACAATTCAATAGTTTTAAATAAATTTTGTTTTTGTAGTTAAAAAGACTTCTCTAGTTGACATTGACATTGTGTTTAAATATTTATAATATATCAAACTATCTTAGATAATGAAGACTTTTTTCCACCATTATTGTAATACCGAGAAGAAAAATTGTATATCTAAGATTTAATGAGTAAATGCCATCACTATTTAATTTTATGTTTTCATTTTTTTAGAAATAATTCTGTTTTTAAATATTTTTTTTTGGTTTTTTTGTTTTAAATAATAAGTCATGAATCTATACAAAATTCGGGGGATTTATTTATTTATTTATAAACTTTGTAAAAAATATGACATCAAAGGCATAATAACAATAGTAAACAAAAAAAAAACTTCAAAATAGCTTTAAAAATATTTTATTTATTTTTCCATAATTATCAAATATGTTTTCTTTTGGTCAAATCGAACATAGCTCAAGTGGTTAAGACACCTATTTTAGATCATGAGTTCGAACACCACTCCTACAATGTTGTATTGTATAATTATTTTGAGATACAAGATATTATTTGAGTGAATAATAAGTACATGAGGCACAAAATATATAATCCAGAAATTGGACATATATATGTCATTTCAAAAGAAAAAAAAAAACTGTACATATGTATTTAAAAAAGCGATGAAAGAAATCGAGTCCGTAGTTTAAATTAAATTACATTGTTAGTTGTTACGAAACTAACAAGAAATTTAGCATCTCCCATTCAAATAATTGGATCCATAACAAACAAATAAAATATAATATAATAAATAATAAACAAATTAATTAAAACTATGTTTTTAGGTTACATTCGATGCACCTTGGAAAATCTGTAGACAATTTTGAGAAAAACATGAACGTAATTTTCACACATGAAGAAGAATAATTCAGAATATATAATAAAAATTGCAAAGGGGTCGTTTTCATTCTTTTTTTCTTTCTTTTTCTTTTTCCAATTAATAAATAAATTGTGATAAAAAAAGATTGTTGTAGTGCTACGCTAACGTTTTACATTGATTAGACAGGGGAATGTGAGAGATAGCATTCTCCACCAAAATGAACAATATTATATCATTGTAGAAATGTGTGGAGAGTTCATTATATTGAACAAATATAATAATTTTTTAGTGGTAGTTTAAATTTTAAAATTATAATAGATCATAGCTATGAATATCTTTATAGTTCGATTAACATGATAAATAGTGCGATTAGGAACCGCATATTTTTTGGTACATCATATTCATGTATTTGCGATTCATGTGACGGTATTGATACCCGTGAAAAATGTTATATTTTCTCATAGCTCGAGTTTGATACAGAATAAAGCAAATCTTGGTTTTCGTTTCCCTTGTGATGGACCCGGAAGAGGGGGTACATGTCAAGTATCCACTTGGGATCATGTCTTCTTAGGACTATTTTGGATGTACAATTCAATTTCGATAGTAATATTCAAGAAGTGGTAACTCATATTTCGGGAGGAAACTTTGCGCAGAGTTCCATTACTATTAATGGGTAGCTTCGCGATCTCTTATGGGCATAGACATCCCAGGTAATTCAGTCTTATGGATCTTCATTATCTACATATGACTTCTTTTTCCTAGGTACTCATTTTGTATGGACTTTTAGTTTAATGTTTCTATTCAACACTCGTGGTTACGTTATTGACAATAACTTATTGAATCCATTGTTTGAGCTCATAATAAATTAAAAATTGCTCCTTAAAATATTTGAACATTATCTAACGACATGCTATGTGAGTAACCCAGATAAAATAAGGTCCCCAATTTCGGCATGAGGCATTAGAGAATAATTGTTAGTTGCTTTCTCTCTCTATTTCCTCTGGGCAGGTTTGTAGAGAATCAAATGAGGTTGCAAGTAAACCCTTGGAATGAATGTTTTTTTTTTTTTTACTTTCTAATTTCCCTATCTTACTTAACTCCGGTGGTCGTTTTGGTAATTAAATTTAGCGTTTTTAAATAACTAATTGGCTCATGCATTTGATATGAATTAAATGTCATTTACTGATAATAAAAATTTATTCGTGTTTCATACGTGATCTTAGTTTCAGTTGGATTATGTTTGTTTTCTTTTCTTTTTATAATAATACTTGTATCAGATCAAGCTAAATATTTAATTTACACTATATAATTAATTATTTTCCTAACATCCTTTGCAGTTATATGAGTTTAATTTTTGTGTTCGTCAATTTGATAGTAGCTCAGATGATAAGACGTTTGTTACCGAACTAACATTACTACAGATTTGACTTTTGATATCTAACAAATGTCAACCATTGTATAATTAAAATGTTGAAATTTTTTTAAAAAAATTAATCTTTTATAAATAAAGAAACACAATTTTTCGTGATAGGACGTGTCTTTTGTAAAGGATACAACTTTATATGAAATAATATGTCCTTTATCAAAAGACATAACCTTATACGAACAGATGTGACTATTTGAATGGCCACAAATAGTCTATAAATTGTGGTTTTTTTTTTCCATTTTGTAAAACAAAAAACTGATTCCTCAAAATTATCTCTTCCTCCCTCTGTACGAGTACTTAAATACTGTGAATTCGTTGAGTCATGTGCGTGAGGTGCTGTATTCATAGGTTGATATATCTATCATATCCTGGAAGACAATTGTTCATGAAACCTTGAGCACCATAGAGGGAACAAAATTGTCTTAAAGAAACAACATTATGTTGGGTTCGGATTCGTTATTTTGTGTTTCTTTGAGTTTCCCTACATATTATCTCTAACATTAACTACTTTTTACCTAAACCACATGTGTTCATTAAAATATTAAAAAATATTAAGGAGGCTAATCATCATCATTATTATTTATAGATTAGTGAAGTTGGTCAATGTTTAAAGTCTATTAATTGTGATTTCCATGTAGTTGTGTGGGAATTTCTTGAATCTCGCTCTTTTGTGGAACAAAAATTCGTGAAAACATGCTTGTAAAGGTAAAAGTTGTTTTAGGATAATTTTGACATTTTCAACGTTTTCTAAGACTAGTTAGAAGGGTACAAATTCCTTTGACTTTTGTATTGCCTTAATTATGTAACATTGCATAAACCACATCAAATCTTAGTATCAATTACAATACAATATAAAAATTTACGACAATAACTAAAATACAATTTACAATTTTATAAAATGGTGGGATGAAAGTTAAATGTATCCATATTGAATTTGTAGATATAATAGAAAATTGTGAATATGACGAAAACATGATGTTGTTTATGGTGTCATGGTAAAAAAAGATTATATGATATTTTTACAAAAAAAAAAAAAAGATAAGATCAAATGAAATCTAATTCTCATATCAAATCAATTACTAAAACATTTATATGAAATTGAATTGTATTATACTATTGTATAGTGAAGTATTTATCTAATAGTGTAGTAATTCATTTTCACATGAAATATTGAGTTTGTGGATATAATTAAAGGTCGTGTATAATCATGAAAAAATTGATGTTTTTTATACTATAATGACAAAATAAGATTAAACGATACTTTTGTAAAAAGATGATTAAATAAAAATCTAAATCATATTTAATCAAAACATTGATATGAAATTGAATTATATTGTAGACGATGGTATAGTCAAGTATTTATCTAATGTTGAAGTCATTCATTTCCACATGGAACATTGAATTTGTGGATATAATAATTGAAGGTTGTGAATATATAATAAAAATCTGATGTTTTTTATGGTCTTCACTATCAAATAAGATTAATGAGAATTTTGTAGAAAGGTGATTAAATGAAACTCAAATCATATAAAATCAACTAATGAAAGATTGATATGAAAACTGGTCTATATTATATTATTGTTTAGTTAAGTATTTATTAGTTATTAATTTTTGATATGTAATATTGAATTTGTGGATATAATAGAAGGTTGTGAAGGTAATATAGGATGAAAATTTGATGTTTTTAACATTGTAATGGTAAAATAAGATTAAATGATACGCTTGTAAAAAATATCAGATTAAATGAAATCAAAATCCTATCAAATCAATTAATGAAAGATTGATATGAAATTGAATTGTATTACATTATATTGTACTGTTAAGAGGTAAAAACCTTCAGATGTCTATGAAAATAGTTTATTTTTTTTAATTGTTACTAACCGACAACTCGATCAGACTCTCTCTCCAATCAACCTGATAAATCAGTTTAAATTTAACTGTATTTTCTTATTCATTTTAATCCGTAAAAAAATAAAAAGAAAAAAAAGGAGAGACAGTTCAGAAGTTTAAATTCCACCATCCACAAGGTATAAAAAGAAAAACATAATATTTATTATAACGGTTAAAGTATTAGTATTTGTCTATTTGTCTAGTACAACAATCGAGAGTGGACTATTCGGACTCATGAAGTTTTGGTGAGAATAAAGTGAGTTATACCGAGTTTATATTAGTATTTAAATCTTGTTCTACACAATTTGGAGATAATTAGTATTAAATTTTAAGTTTTCATTATTGAACCTTCTTGTCTTAATTTCTTTCCAATGCTTATACAAAAGTTCAAAATAAATATTTCACATTTTTAAATAGAACCATCTTTATTTATCTTTGTAAATTCAACAAATGCGGTACATATTAGCTTGCTATATAATTTATAATACAATATAATAAATATGCTACACAAATGTTAAATAGACAAAATTAATGACTCAGATATGAAATTTAAAGTTATATGTATTAAATTTATTTTTAAATACACAGACATGTTAAACACTTTCAACATTAAAAATACAATTTAGAAGTAGTGAAATAAAAGGTGTAATTTTATCATTTAAAATGTCAAAATAAGTATAACTCGTAAGCAAAAATTTAAATTTTAATATTTCTTATTAATCGAATATAACTCAACTAACTAAAACATATATCTCCGACTAAACGGAAGATAGATTTGAATGTTCACGAGAGTAATTTTATAAAGAGACATAAAAATGGTCACCAATTTAAATGAAAACGTGATATTATTATATTATTATTATTATTTACAGTTTATTTATAATGAAATTATTAACTGCAACTCTGCAAATGAATGTACAGTGAAGCTAGGGCAGTCTTCTCTCCCTTCACTTCACGACGAAGACCTCAGCGACCGCTTGAAGCTGCCATTGCGACATTGGTGCATTGATTTTCTCTTCTTCTTCTTTCCTTTCGTTTTCTTTCTTTTTCCAATCATCAATTGGATTCCACAATCTCAACCATCCATTTTTTTTTCTCTTCATCTGCACTCCGTATCTGATTTTCGTGAGTTTCCTTCTCCTTCTCTTCGTAGATCTATTTAAATCATGATTGTTTTATTGTGATTTTCTCGATGTTTTTCCTAGTTTAGTTACATATGTTTCAATCGCTTGGATGTTGTTGTTACCCTGCTCTTGGATAGTGAATTTCTTTCTCGTTTTCGCCCCCATGGAAATCTGTGGAGGTTCAATGAAATATGCAATGATCCTTGCTATGATAATACAGCCAAGTAGTCACATGAATGCTGACTGCCGTCCCTCTCCATCATTGACTTGTCCTGATGTCTTGTATTTCTCTATCTGCATATTTTTCCACAAGAAGTAGCCGGCTAGACTGATCGGTTTGGCTTTCCTTCTGGATAAAGACCTATCTGAAGAATGAAATCCTTGATTTTGGAAGGAACTGTTAGGTGTGATTGAAGGAATGTATTAAAAGTGAACAAACGAAATATATATCTTTTTGTTATCAGCCCTGCAAACTACATATCCTTTTGGGTTTTGGTGTCAGTTATCATTCTGTAATCTGTTGCAGGCATAGAATTTCTTGGTGTAACAGAATCCTAAAGAAGGTGTATTTTCTTAAGAACTTAAATTTCCAAATGACCTTTGAAAGAGTGGCAGGGAAGGTCAATGCTCACATATTGAGTCACCCAAAGGACTTGATGGAGTTGGAGCCTATATAATGCCTAATGTTATAATTTGAATGGCAATCATTAAGCCCATGCGGTAACTCTATTGAACACAATTGTGTTACAATTTATTTACTTTTTTTTTTTTAAGTTTTGGAAATGATCAGATATGTGATAACCTGTTGAGCAAATTTTTATAAAGAAAATACAAATTGGAAACCGTTGTACTTGATAAAGACAAAAACGAAGGCCGAAGATTAACCTAATCAAACAGTTAGGGAATGGAGGAAGAGATAGTGTGTGTAAACAGTAAACTTGATGGATGCATGTTAGATAGGAAGAAAAGGAAAACCTAACACACGTGGCTGAACCCAAAGAATTGCAGAAAGATGAAGAAACAAAATCTACTAGCTCTAGATGTTGCAGTAGAGAAACGCATGCATTTTTTATAAATTCTAATTTCTTAGATACACTCTCTAATTGGAGTGCCTTGTATGGGACTTCCAGTAACTATTATTCTACTTGATTAATGTATATTGGGGGTGCTTCTTATGATCACCCATTTGGTAGCTTGGGAGATGTCTTTTCAACCCGCTCTAGGAATGTAACCTTGGGTTGTAACAAGGTGGTTGTGTTTCTTATACATGTTTATGTGTATATATGTATAATAATCTTCTATATAGCGATAGAACTTTGAGAAATTTAGTCCTTAAAGAGCCTTGGTTTCCTGCAGGGTATGTGACTGACTTTTATGCCTCAAGCTTGTAGTCGTGCTTCAAGAGTGAGCAAATTCTTTTACCAAAATAGCAAGATCTTTGATTTATCCTCTGTTGTAATTGGCAGTGGGCATCATTTTAGACTTTTCAGTGCTATGAAAGAAATTAAAGTCAAAGCTGGTTCTAAGTCAGATCCTCATCTGTCAAATGATGAAACAAATGCACAACAATCATCTTGTGCAAATCAGGGATGCTCATCAAACGTGCAGTGCACCCCTGAAATTGAAAAGAAGTATGTGCATCGTGTTTATGATGCCATTGCACCCCATTTTAGTTCCACTCGATTTGCGAAGTGGCCAAAAGTTGCAGCATTCTTATCCTCATTGCCTCTAGGCTCCCTCATCCTGGATGCTGGCTGTGGTAATGGAAAGTACTTGGGTTTTACTCCCAACTGCTTTTTTATAGGATGTGATATTAGTGCTCAACTTATCAAAATTTGTAAAGAAAGGGGGCATGATGTTCTGGTGGCTGATGCAGTAAATCTTCCTTACAGAACTGGTTTTGGCGATGCAGCAATCTCTATAGCTGTATTACATCATCTAAGTACTGAGAACAGGAGGAAGAAAGCAATTGAAGAATTAATACGTGTTGTTAAAAAAGGTGGCCTAGTTTTAATTACAGTGTGGGCTGTTGAACAGGAGGATAAATCTTTATTGACGAAATGGATGCCACTTACAGAGAAGTATGTTGAAGAGTGGGTTGGACCAGGTAGTCCCCGTGTTCGTAGTCCTTCATCATTGGCACTTGAAAGCATTCCTGAAATGAATGAAAATGGTTCAGGTATTCATCTAAGGGATTCCAAGGAGAATTTCACTGGAAGTATGCCAGAAAATAAATCTCTACCATCTCAAAGTGGAGACGAGTTGCCGAGTTGTATTGATGAAAACTTATCAAAGACTGCCCAGCAAGAATATTTTGTACCATGGCACTTACCTTATCATCGTGCAGAAGTCAGCGGCACGTCTGCCAGTGCCCTTGCCAGTGGTTTAGCAAAGAAAGATGATAAAAAGGCTGCTGTTGTGTATAACAGATACTATCATGTTTTCAGTGAAGGCGAGCTTGAAAGGTATTCCTCTCTCTCATATCTATTGTATGGTTTTCATTTTCTGGTCTCCTTTTGCTTATTGGGTACGAGTGAATCACTTGAATAGATCCGGTGCCCTCTTGCATGAGTTCTATAATCTATAATGTAACAAATATCTCTTTACAGATGTGACTGTGCTGTTCTAGATATGTTCCATCTCTCATTTCCTCCCTCTAATACTCAAACATGAGCCATATATTTATGTTTAAACATAGCTGGATGAAAGTTGGACAAAAAGGGAATAATGTAGACATTTTAATATATGTGCAAAAAAAATAAATCATCTTCATAATGCACAAAGCAACAGGGTTGAAAGTAGTCTCGGTGGTAGAAAAGGTTGTTTTTGCACATGGGAGATGGCGCCGGTACTGTTGATTACCCCTTTTAGTCCAAGTTGGAAATATATGGAAAAAGAACATTATACTTTTCCTAGCTTTGACTTATTGTTTCCCTACGAGCAAAATCAATCAGAAATTGCTACCGTGAAAAAGAGATTTTTACAAAAGAGGAAAGGGGAGATAATAAGGCATCCATACCCAAGACAAAAAGGATCTTCACCAATTGGTAGCAATCTAAAAGGGGGCTACAGTATTAAGACCAAAATAAGAAGAAAATAAGGAAAAGTTGAACCTAACCTTTTGGCTGAAAGTTGGCCCTACCAAATTTCCTCTGCTATATTAGATGTTTACTTGGGGGCACCTATTGGAAGTTTGCCTTGTATAATTTGCACGTGGAGTAAATGTTAATATATGTATGCAGTAGCTTCCATTAATGTGTGCTCAGGTGATAATCAATTTTCTATCATTCCATAGTTTGACTTGAAATACCATCAACTTGAAATATAGGGAACTCAGTATACCATACTTCAAGACTTTAACTTATTTCACCTTCCTTTACCCCCCTCGAGATACGTTTCTTACGTAATATTTTGTTCTTTTACTGTTTGGGTGCAGGCTAGTTTCTGGTATGGACAACGCAGTAGTGATCGATCGATTTTATGACAAGTCAAACTGGTGTATAGTTCTTGAGAAAACAGTGTGACCTATGGAATGAGCCCACTGGCCTATATGAAGATGATTCCAACGTGGACGTGCCTGCCAACTCAAATCGTCATTATTTCAAAATGAACTCGCGGTGCTGAAGGTGGTATCCCTTGATGTTTATTGCTCTTGCTATCTCGGATCTGTTCTTGGCCAATCCTGGTTTGGAGATGGAGATCTGCAGGTTCCCTTGAAGAAAATGCATGCACTGTAAGGATTTTGTAATGGTATTGTGATTGATAATGCGCTGGATTTCCCTCTAGCTCAGTTCTAAATTGTTGCATTGAAAAATTTGGCTTCGTTTTAATAAATTATATTTGATTGTCAACGAAGCCTTTGTGCCATCCCATGTAACCTGCTGTTTTTTACTTCGGATTGGTGAATTAGTTCATAATGGCACCATGGTTGCTGCAATTTTCTATGGTTTATTTAATAGAGCGATAATTCAGAAACAAATATTACTTGGAAATTGTTTTTTAAAAGCTGTTTTTGTACTTCATGTATACTCACGATGAACTATTCTTTGAAATAAATTGAATTATTCTTTTAAAATTGAAAATTATCATACTGCAGTATGAGCCCCATTAACATTTATAAATCTTTTCATGCTATTCAATCTCAATTAACAAAAAACTTCATTAGAAATAATTTTCCAAATGAAGTCTAAAATTTTAGTCATGCTGTACGATCCTGCAACGAAGGGTGAACAGCCAATTTGTCTATAAATAATTGTGTATATTGGTTGTATCTTGGTTCAATACAATATGCACATTACACTCAAACGCACAAATACATGGTGAGCAAGCAAACCAGGCACCAACGTATGTTCCAAGGAACTTTTTTGATCTACAAGATATAAGTTTGGCATTACACTCGCCTGCTATAACTATTATGGCTTTGGTTTTACATCATAGCAAAGGCGGGACGGGGAATCTATTACCTTAGCCTGCATGTATCATGATGTGTGATCTGAACCCGAGGGCGAAAGCACCAAAGAAAATACTTGTATATGGTATACCTTTGGGCTACCTATCTTGTATAACTGAAGCAGTATTTTTACACTTTTTGGAGGCAACAATATGTAGTCTGCAAAAGCAGCATTAACAGTTCAAACCCCAATCGTATGTTTGATATAATACCTTCAACTGGTTACTGGCAAGCAATTCAAGCAATGCTTGTGAATCCTCTGGTTTCAAGTAGTTTGATGCATGCTTCATCACTTCTTGCTCATTCTTTCCGAAGTCTGTGCTAAACCTGGGCGGTGATGGAAGTAGAAATAATTTACTAGCAGAGTCAATGTCTTCAAGAAATATAATAACATTCACAATTACTATCACTCTCTATTATCTAGGACTTAATGGTTCAACTTATGGTCGGTCAGGAAACTCTGTCTAGTGCCTCCACAACAGAAATATATGTAAACAGGGTTTCAAATTGTTGGGTGGATCGACAAATTGGCCAACTCTAATGTGTATTGAAAATCACAGCGCATTAAATTAACTTCATCCAGGTTTTCTAGGAGATCCTGGCAGTTTATCTACAAACTGCCAGGATCTCCTACAAATGACTTGTCCAGGAGAGTGCCTTATTCCAAGACGAGTAAACTTAAGAGTAAAATTTTCAAAATTTTCACTATGACCTGATCAAATGTGTCTGTAACTAAGGGAGCAAGTCCACCTAAAAGTAGGCCCCTAAATGAAAAATTCATAAAGTTACGATAGAAACTAAAAATAATAACAAATGTTTGTAAGAAAACAGGAGAAGGTTTCTGCGGAAATGTTTTTGTCTTACCATTTAAGAATCATATTAACTGATGCAACATTGTTATTCAAATCAATGACAAGTCCTCCATCTCTTAAGAAACTTCGGGCTGCTTCCATCAACTCTTGATCTATGTTCCCTGGAGAATAGCATCGAAGAGCAGGTCCAGATCGGGTACCACAGACTAATGCACAATGAATTAAAGGCTCCACATACGGAAGAGAAACCTATAAAATAACAGAAATAATAGTAGTCAGACTATGATGGTAATGAAAACTCAAATTCCGGAAGAAAATAAAATGGGACATACAGCTCATGTTTGCAATTGGCCCAGTTGTAAGATAAACAGGAAGAGAAACTGATAGAAAGCAAGAATTATTCACTTTGAACTTATGATCCATCACTATGACTGTACTTGAGTTAAACAAGTTAAAGCTCTAGCACTCCAAAAGGATACCCAGAAAAATCATGAAACGTTACTTCAATGCAATTGTTCATAAAAGGTAAACTACAACAAAATGTTAACTAAAAAAAGATTCACGCACCTCACACGCAACTCCAACTTTCGTGTACAACCAACGCAAACAATAAAACAAGTAAAATAAGAATCTTTTTACGTCTGATTGCCATATAATTGTGTTCCATTACATCACAAAATAAGCAGTAGAGATAACAAAGGGGCTTATCTTACTTTAGCACGTTTATCTTTTGCACCAAATGGTTTCATGAGGTTGTATGGTGGTCTCTGATTGGCCCTCAAAATTCCATTTTGAATAGCTGAAAGAGAGTATGTGGCCCCTCCAATGACATATTTGAACTCTCCGAACAGTTTCCTTCTTTCCAGCGCTCCAACAGGATGACCACATACCAATATTGCATGGATCGCCATCATATTGTAGAGGTTAATAAAGAAAGCAAGCTTCTCCTCCCGTGCCAAATTTTGTACTTCAACTCTTTGGAGCTCTTCGACAATTCTCAAATACCTGTCAAAATATTGCCGTTAAATCAAGAAACTTGAATGCAGAAAAAATGTGTACAGCAAAACACTTGAATGTGCTTCTATTACAATTTTATTAACGAACTAACCTAGCAAATTCCTCACTCCCATGAATACTTCTGTAATCTACATGTTTTCCATCCTCTGATACATAGGCTTCAAAAACGGCAAAGGACAAAAATCTCAGCCTTGATGCAATATCTGATATGGCCTTGGGCTTCGTCTCAATTATACCTCTTGCAACGTTGTGACATTGAGTTGCCACGACAGGATCATCATCCAAGAAACGGTATAAGTGGCTACCATCTTCAAATAAATTTTCTCTGAAAACAGGATTATTAATCACAAATGCAATGGGTGGCAGCCAAGGATACTGAGAGGAAGAGCTAAGGTAACTTACTCAAGAACATGTTGGAAAAAAAGTTTGCTTGCAAGCTTTCGTCCAAATTCAATAGCCTGATCATTGCACCAAACAATAAATTTACTTAAAAAAAAATTAAGGACACTCGGGGATCACTTAGAGAGCAGAGTTAAGGATTAGAACTTAACACCAAAATGAAGAGCAAAGTTATGCAGTTACTTAACACAAATATTTTTTGTAATCATATATAATTTTAGAAAAAGATAAAATATACACAGTACTGTAGCTACTAGGAAAATATACACTATCCTTATTAGTTATTCTTTGTTCAACAGATAAAAAGAAAAGGTTAGTATTTTAAAGCCCCATCTTCTAATAAGAAAGTTCAAAAGAGAATCAGAACGAAAATCTCCATTCTCCCCATACCTAAGAAGAACTTTCTTTCTATAGAGTACTAAAAGTGTTTAAAAAAAATAGCTCTAATAGATGACCTTGATTGAACAATAGCTCTTCTCTAGCTTGTACCTCTATGTCCTTGAGTTCTAAAAAGATAAATAGCTCTAATAAAGTGTATTACCATTGATCTCATCTAGGAATAAAGGAACAGAAACCAATTTAAATTTAGTATGACACAAGAAGAGAGGAAAGGGGAAAAAACATGGTGGGTCACGCAATGATGAAATGAGACTGACATTAAAGAAAACTCCAATGATAAATTTAATACTAATTAGAATAATATGAATAAATAGACTGTCTAAATGCCAAGAATCTACGGAAATTTTTAAGCTCATAAAATAATATGTCAAGAGGTGCAACATAAGATTTAGAAAGTCCCTCTAGGACAAATTACCATGGCTGGTACCTAGCTGCATTGTGAACTTGAGAGGGATAAATATTGAAATATTGTTATTTTAAAGAGAAGTCTCTTCTTTCTAAAAGACGACAAAGGGACATAGTCAAACTCACCTCTTCCCTTTCCAAATATTGGTCCTCTGATAAGAAATCCACAGCTTCTGAGCCTAGGAAACAGTTGGTGAATCGCCGCATTTTGTAGAACCGGTCCTTAACAACAATAGATTCTTTCATTTTTCGAAAAACCATAGCCAATTCATCAACTGTCCCATTACTGGAGACATCATCTTCACCAGAAAGAGGTGGTAAAGGGGCTTCAAATGATGGTGCTTCAGCTTTCAGATACTCAATTTTCTCATCAAGCTTTCCAGACTCATCCAATTCTTTTAGTTCGTTCAAGCCTCCAATAAGGGTCTCATTAAAAAATACCTTTGGGACGGCAGGAGATCCAGCAAGTTTCTCAAGCTCCAATTTTCTACCCGGGTAAACATCAATATTGATCTCAACGTATCTAAGTCTCTTCCAAAACAAAAATAGTCGAGCCTCTTTGCAATCTTGACAACCTAACCGTGTGTACAGTACAATTCTACCTTTTAATACGATCTCTAAGGTTGGTTCTCCAGAAACTTCCTCCACCTGCTCAGTTTTGATTTGTGCATCAGCATCACGTGATATCTTAATGTAGTTGAGGGGATTCCAAGCAGATCTTTCCGAAGGTTTTTCTGGGATTTCCTTGGCTTCATTTTCTTTATTGGAACTGGAGTCATCCTTACTCTCATCATTAGGACTACTATCCTGACTTTCTTCCTCCCTTTTTCCTGAAAAACGACGTAAAACACTGGAGACTGCAACTACTCCTTTTTCCTTAACAAAGTTTTTTAGTGCCAGTGCCTTGTCAACGACACCTTGGGTCTCTGAATCACTATCTGTGGAACGATTCGACAAACTCCTATTAACTTCAATATCAGGAACCTCAGTCCCATCAAAGACTGGCTCTGGGGCTTTCTCCTCGGCAAGAACTTCTTCAATTGTTTGGTTTGTTCTTGTTTGAGCCTTAGAATCTAAACCTTCACCCTCGTTGTCTGAATCATCTGATGAGGATTCAGATTCTGCATTCTTATCCTCATCTAGCTTTTCATTAGAGTCATCATTTCTAATAACCTGGTCCGACTTTTCAAATTCAGACTTAGACTGGAAATCCAGCTTGGTTTCCACCTCGTGATGCAATTCACCTTGGATGTTCTCCCTCTGGATTTCCACATCGTGATGCAATTCACCTTGGACATTCTCCCTCTCCACCGTTTCATCTTGAGCCTCAGATTTCGAATCGACGTTCTTGTCCTTTGCTATCTCATCACGTCCTTTATCCTCTGCTGGTGTAGTGCTATCCTCGCTAACTGACAAAGGCGGTTCAGTCTCCAATGTAGATTCCCCTACATCTTTCTCTTTAGACAGGCCTTGTTCCTCATCCCTTTTAGTGGTGGGAGAAGTTGCCATCTCTTCCTTTTAGTCTAGTAAATTAAGTGTCTTCTCACTCCCTCTGCACCTTTCAGATTCAACATTCAAGAGCCTGCAAAACAGTTGACAAAATGCAAAATAAAAAACGCACAGAGGTTTATCCAACAATAAACTGTTGGCAGGGAAGAAATCTGTGTAAATGCAACAAAGAGTATTCTATAATTTTCAATTCCGTGCAAAGTACAGAAATAAAGCTTCTCAACATCATAAACATGAGCGCCGTCAACGCCTTGGCGCAAAAATGCGGGATAGTCAAAGTGAATTCCTCTCACTAGAACCATCACTCTCCAGACATAGCAAATTATCAAACTCGTCCACTTCAATTTCCTCGAATCCTCCACCTCCGAATTCAAACATGTAAAATATTCATCGTCGATTTTCCAAACCATCAAACAAACAGCAATAGAAAAAAACAATAAACTGCACACACGATTGATGAGGATGGAAATTCAGAATACTGTAATACCGTCTAGGATGAGAACGAGGAATCCGGCATCCGGAAACAAATCTTTCTCGACGAGAACGGAATGATGAACCTTACAAGATCTGAAGGAGTTTGAATTGGGAAGAAACTGCAGAAACATAGTAAAAATAAGAAGAAATCTATCAAAATCTCGAGGATTGGCGGTTACGGGTGGGAATTAATTGAGGTGAAAGTTTCCTTAGACGTTTTTTTTCACCTTTGAAGTTGAATGAAACCGCCTGAAGAAGTTCGCAAGAAAGAAAAACAAAAAATAATAAAACAAAAAAAAGGAAAAAAAAAAAAAGAAACTGGAGAGAAGCGGGAAGTCCGTGTGCTGAAAATAGAAAAATGGCCTTTCCAAAAAAAAAATATATATATGTATATATATTAATTAATTAAAATTAAAATTAAAAAAATTAAAGGAAAATGGACAAATAAACGGGTTTTCTTCTGACCCCGCCCGCCCGCTAAGCATGTTCCCTTTTTTTTTATAGCGTTGACTAATATAATGTATAGTATAATATTTAAAATCGGAAAAAATCAATTTATACCGCTAAATCATGCAAGTTAAATCAATTAAAACCTTTCACTAATAATTATAGTTGATATAATTATTTTTTTAAAAAAATAACTATATCAACTATTAATAAAAATAATAAAATTGTATTCAATTAAAATATTAAACAACTTATTCATTTATCCAATCTGAATATAGTTCAATTAATCAAGACACTCATCTCCGATCAAAATATCGTAAGTTTGAATTTTCACCAAACATGTTATACGAAAAACAAATTAATTTATTAAAAGTTGGATTACAAATGTAGGGATTTTAATCTTTGACCTCAAGGAAAATAATAGACGGATGATTTATAAGTGATGAATTGAGTGATTGTGTTTCAAATCTCACGATATTAGGTTTGGGGCTAAAAGTTAATCCACCCACGAAATTAACTTTGAAATATTCATACCAACTCCGGAGAGAATTGATATTTTAAAGACATAACAAATCCACTACAATTTAAACTAAAGTTGGAAAGAAACGTTTAAATTATAAGATAAGTACAATAGAAAGCAGAATTGTACCTAACTTTAGTCATAAGTTTAAGTTGGCCAACCCAAGATGTTGACTTGACCTAATTAATCTAAAATCAATCCCTTAAATTTAATTTTACTCCCATTCTTGGTCTATTTTTTATCCTTAATCTGTCTACCAAATCATACCACCTCATTAAAATTTACATACTTGCATTTCCTCTGTTAAAAGTTTAATTTTAGTAGCGGAGGATAAGTATGGTTTAAGTTTTATCATTTAAGAACGTAATTGAAACCTTTTAAAATTGAATTAAACCGATGTATGCTCCAGCCTTAAAAGGACAAAAGTAACTTTTCTGAAAAACAGTAAGAATGAAACTAAAGAAATTTAAGAGATCATAAACAAATTTGAAAAGTGACACCATCACTAGAAACAAAATGGTATATTTAGCAATTTTATTTATGGATGTGTCAGAAAAATAACCCTATTTCCTAAAAGAAGACGAGATTAAATATCAAATAATAGCAGAAAAGTTGCAATCGAGAGGACATTTTGGCGGAAAAAGAAGACAGTTTCAAGATTCATTTTGATTAAAATCACATGGAAAAGCCAGTTAGAAAGATGACTATTCACAGAACTATGCACCAAGATAAAGTATGAATTTACAAAGATTACATTGAACGTTTTTACAATTAACTATTAATCTGGGCTGTAAGGTACGTGTTTTTTTTTTATTAAATATTACATGATAATTAAAGAGGTGGAAATTTGAACCTATAACTAACCTGTAATGAAAAAATACAAATATCTAACTACTTAAACTAACCTCGATTTAGTATACATGAGAAGAAACAGCTTAGGCAGGGAAAAGTTGAGTTTTTATTTCTCCGCTATGCACAATTATGACATTTGGAGTAACAGAAGATCACAGAAATGTGTTCCGTCAAGTCATTGCCATTCTGATCAGAACATCGAGTGAACGAAGTACAAGGCTCTTTGAGATGGCAAGAATCATATAGCATGAATCTTGTCGTTGGTCGAATCTAGATAACCATTCGAGTCGGAGGTCAATGACTGGTTTGCAAGCTATATTCAAGTGATGGCTCTACATCACACTTAGCATCTCCACAGGCTCCATAAACTGTTGCAAGAATGTAGTCATCCACTTCAATACCTTCGGCTTGCATCCGATACATAAGCATCAAAGCCTCTCGGCATAGACCATTCCTTGCGTAACCCAAAATCATGGCCTTCCAAGAAACCAAATTCCTCACCGGCATGCTGTAGAAAACTTGAGATGCTTCGGTTACGTATCCACATTTTGCATACATGTAAATTAATGCACTTCCCACAAAAACATTGGACAATGCAGATGTTTTATTTGCAGAGGAGTGGATCAATCTCCCATGTAGAATGGCTTCCATCTTTGCACACGCTTTTAAAGCCGAAGAATAAGTAAAGGAATTTGGTTCAACTCCTTCCTCTATCATGGTTTTCAGAAACTCGAGAGCCTCGGACTCGTGGCCAAGATGAGCACAGCCAGAAATAATGGCTGTCCAGGAAACCACATCTCTAAGAGGCATCTGCTGAAGAACCATGGAGGCCTTAGGTTGATTCCTACATTTACAGTAGAACCAGACTAGAGTGCTTCCGATGTGTATATTTGTCTGAAAAGAATTTTTCACAATTTGGGCATGAACTTCTCTCCCAGTTAATGACTCCCCAATCGAGCCACAAGCGCGGAGGATACTTACGATGGTTAAGTTATTGGCAGGAATCCTCTGCCTCTTCATCAACCTAAAGAGGTTTATGGCCTCCTCGCCGAGCCCCTCCCGAGCATAGCCAGCTATGATCGACGTCCATGTAACCGTGTTTCTATTCCTCATCCCATTAAATATTTCTCTCGAATCCGCCATATTCCCGCACTTGGCGTACATATCAACCAAGGAAGTCCCAACAAAAACATCATTCTTTATTATTTTCTTAACTATCAAACCATGTAACTGTCTCCCAATCTTCAACTCCTTCTCTTCTCCACAAGCCTTGAGAACACCACATACAGAAAATTCATTAGGTAGAAATCCATCGCTTAGCATATTTGAAAACATCGAAATCGCCTCTCGTCCAAGCCCTTGTTGGGAACAAGAAGTAATCATGGAAGTCCAACAGACAACATCACGCTTTGGCATCTGCTCAAATGCAACGAAAGCACTGGAAATATCTTTACACTGTGCATAAAAGTAAACGATGGCACTGTCTACAATCAAATTTCCCCAATTACCTTTCAAAATAACGCCATGAATTTGCCTCCCAAGCTCAAAATCCAACCTCTTAGCACACAAGTTCAATATGCAAACAAACATCTTCCCATTCGCTTGGACGCCACACTTAATCGAATCATGAAACAACCCTAAAGCTTCTTCAGTCAAATCAGAATCAATATATCCATTAATAATAGCCGTCCAGGTTACAACGCTTCTCATCGGAATTTCGTCGAACACCTTTCTAGCATCAACCAACATCCCGAATATCAAGTAAGAACTAATCAAATTATTCCCAACGTAAATCACTAAACTTGTCAAATGCCGCAAAATAAACGCATGTATCGCCCTCAATTCCTTGACGCTACGACTGGACCGAAGCCAAACGGCAAGCAGATAAGGACTTAAATATCCACTCACCGGCTGATTACTGCAGGATTCGAGATCGGCGGGTTCTTGAGCAGTACGTGTTTCCGTCGAGGAGGTGACCGGCGAAGCCCGGGATGGTTCTTTGGCGGGATGGAACCGAAAATTTGTGGAATTTTTACAACGGCCGATATTTGTGAGCTTCCATCCGGAACAGATTCGTCGTGTGGATGGTGATGTTGGCGGTGGTTGAACGGAGAAACGAGAAGGTGGCTGAGAAATAGTGGCCGTTGAGATGAACGCCGGCGAGAGCATGGCCGGGGTTTGAACTTCCCGCCACGGCCACAATTCGGATTGAAAATTGTAACTTCACTGTGGATAATTTGAAGCAGAGCCGTTGGTCGGGTTGGACTTCCTCGTTGCGGATCGGGGCAAAAAAGGTACCTGCCATTGGATATTTTATAAGAAAATGTTAATTACATTTTAGCCCCATCCTGGAATTCTTCGTTTTTTACATTTTGTCTTTATTTAAAAAAAAAAATCTCATCAAACATTTTATTTAAAAAACAATAACAATGGTAGAAGTTTACTCATTTTCCTTTTTCAAATATGGTAATTTTTTTAAAATTTTCCATGCACCTATTTAAAGGTTTATAGTTCGTTTTATTTCTACCGACATATATCATTATAGAAACTTACTGTTGTTGTAGAATTCTATCATTTGTATAGGTTTATTATAATGCATTTATATGGTTGAGTTATTTTAAATCTGAGTGAATTTCGTTAACATGAGATTAGTTTAACAATAATTGACAAATGTCTCCGACCAATAAGTTATGAGTTCGAATTCCCACCCCTATCTATCGCCCTAAAAAAATCCTAATGAAATTCAAATGATTTTTGTTTGTTTCTTTTCACAAAAATTATTTGAAATATTAGACAGTTTTAAAATCGTGGTTTACAATATTAAATTATTTGAGCTTAGTTGAAGTGTTAGTGATAATTTAATTGTCTTCCTAGGTGATTTGAGTTGAGTTTTTTTTCCTTCTTTTTTCTTTTGTTCTCTTTCTAAATATGCAAATGCAATCCAGATTTTATTTATAATTTGGGTTAAATTTTAAAAAATATCTATGAATTTTTTTTATCTAGAGAGTATCTATATCATTCCAAAAGTTTCAATAATACCTTAACTTTTTAATAAACACGTTTCATCATTGGAACAAACATCTAATAATATTTTGAATGAAAAATTGACATTACCGAATATGTGTGTATAAACTCTTAAAAAATTTCATCTATTTTACTTAATTTTGTCATTAAAAGTCTTTATTCTTGCACTTCTAGTAGAGTTCATTTCTCCATTATCTAATCCATTTTCCCAATCTTGTAATATCTTCTTCCACATTCCCACTTTTCTAGACTCAATTGAAGCAAGTTCGCATCGTTTCATATTACATCTTGTTATCTTTTCGATCTAAATACTTATAAAAAAAAAAGGAAAAAACTTTTCGCTCCAAATATCAGTAGAGGTTTGCTTAAGTCCGGAGCTTGAAACCTCACGGCTATACGTTTTTGTATTAAAAGAAATGCTTATTTGGCCATACTTAGTTTTCTTTTTTTTTTCCTTTTTTTTTTCAATGCTTTTTAAAGTTTACAACACACCTAGCTTACGCAATTCCCTTTTAAACCCTAACAAAATCCCGCGGGAGAGAAGGCAGAAGGGAAGTGGGGGTGCTTGTTCTGCTTCAACCTTCGAGATGGAGCTGCATTCCGCAACTCTCCAGACCTCTCTCTCTTTCCCTGTCAGAAGGAGAACTCTTGCTCATGCTGACGCCTCCGCCGCGTGCTCTCCCTCATCGTCCTCGCTTTCAAGAATTCCAGCTCGAAACTCTTCTATGGGTTCAAAAAGTAGAGGTAAGTAACTCTGAACTTTGTTAAGTTTCTGATGAGTTGCGAAGATAAGACCATGAGATTGAAACCACTGTATTCCTCAGCACTTATTGCTCCACGTTTTCAACTTCTGTTCCTGGCTGTTGAGAGGGGCACGTCGAGGGAAAGGATGGAGTTTTTTATTCCGTGCATTTCTCGCATTCTATTCATCATATGACTGAATTCTGCACGACTTAGAAAATGGTCCTTATGAAATATTTGAAAGGAAAATCGGAAATTGGAAATTCGACCATAAAAAGTTTATGTGTATATATAAATCCGATCACAGTGCTTGCTCGGACACTCGCGAATACAAAGAGAAAAGTCAACCATAGAAACTATATATATGTACAACTATGTGTTGGTTTAGATGCGGAATATCTGTTCAATACTATAGAAAATACTATTTTTTTTTTGTTCCTCTCGGAAAGCTTGTAACATGTTGTTCAATAACATGTAATGAAGTGTTATGAATTTTTTTGATTACCAGGGTTCCTATCGCTGGTTTGTCAGGTTAGACCGAAAAAATCTTCCTTTTCTGCGGTTGTCAGAGGGGATAGTGCAGTACCAAATGATTGTAGTTCAGAAAATCTCAATTCTTCGAACCGCACTCTGATCCACAATGGACCAGTAGGAAATGTTCAAAATGCAGAAGATGGCGTTGAATGCTTGGATCAGCATAAAATGACCGAAGTGTGTGACAAACTCATTGGAGTCTTCTTGATTGACAAGCCAACTCCAACAGATTGGAGACGGTTAATCGCTTTCAGCAAGGAATGGGACAATATTCGGCCCCATTTCTTTAGCAGGTGCCAAGATCGAGCTGCCACTGAGGACGATCCTGGAATGAAGCATAAGCTACTCCGGCTAGGAAGAAAGCTGAAAGAGGTCAGCCTTGGGATAAAAAAAAATTAACTTGTTAACGGACTTTTTTTTTTTTGGTAAGAAACAAAAATTTCAGTGATGATATGAAATATACAAAAGGCTACATGGACAAGTTACAAGAACACCTTCTAATTAGAGATTAGGTCGCTTAGTTTGTAACTATTGAAAGGGGGCTTGTTAAAGAACTTGTTCTATAAAATAATTTATTCCGCAAATAAGAATAGTGGAAACTAACACTTCGGATGCAAATAAGGTTAATAATCAGCTGGAATAGCAAACATATTATTAAGTAAATGAAATTGGTTTCTTGTAAAGGATTTTTTTTGTTTTTTGTTTTTTGTTTTTTTTTTTGTTTTTATAAGAAACTTATCTTGTAAAGGAAAAAATGTTATTAGCTATTCTATTGTTGTAAAACCACAGACCTGTTGCTGAGGGAAGAATTAAGATGAATTGTTGATGGTACGTGATTATTTTATTAGACACGTTGTTGGAGTATGTGAGTTGTTAATCATACTCTTCTTTTTTCTTTAAAATTTTCACAGATTGATGAGGATGTGCAGAGGCATAATGAACTTCTTGAAGTGGTCAGAGCCGCAGCACCATCAGAACTTGGTGAAATTGTTTCCAGGCGTCGTAAAGATTTTACGAAAGAATTCTTTGTGCATCTTCACACAGTGGCTGAATCTTATTACGATGATCCGACTGAGCAAAATGGTAATGCTGCATACTTTTCAGTCAGCAAAATACTTCTGTTCTTGTTGATAGTAATGAATAAATAGCTACCTAAGTGTTTGAGGTAGCGTAATTTAGGAAGCAAATATCTGTTTTATGCTAAACAAAGAATGATTATGACTCTAAGCAGGAGGGTCAATGGATTGGGATGGATTAAGGAACTAACTAGCATACGTATGTAGAGAAATATTTGCTCCCACGGTGTGGTCCTTATAGTGGAAATTTTAACCTAAAACCCTTGACATCTCCCCAGCTAACTTTGGGGCACACAAAGTGTTTTTGTTAGTAGGGCGTGCCCTATACCATGAATGTAATGAAAGGTTTTTGCTAGAAACGTTAGTCAGTAGGAGAGCTATCTCTCTAAACAATCCGGCCAAAAACTGATCCATTTGGCATAAAAGGCATTTTACTATGATATGGCCCATTGGATCAGTTTTTTGTTTCCTATCCTACTAAGAATTAATTAAATTTAAATTATGAAGTGTATTATTTGGATAATCATTGTTATGGCTATAATTTGGGATGGGTGGTTGAGAAGGAATAGATGTACCTTTTAGGATGATAAAAGTGGTATCAAAGGTATTATGAACCCAGAGGAATTCAAGAACATCCCTCTTTCTTGGGATTTTAACAAGTGGCTGGGTCATTTATATAATTAGTTCCTTTCCCTCAAAAGTTTATTGGGATCTCCTCTTTGTTTTTAAGTTTTTGAATGATCTCTTCTCTTTTCAGTGAACGTCTTTTTTTCCTTATATACATATGTAAGATATGGTATTGACATGGATGAAGTGATATTTTTTTCCCCTTATATTCTGATTGGTAAGCTTTGGCAAAGCTTGGGAACTCCTGCCTGGCTGCGGTACAGACATACGATGCTGCAACTGAAAACATTGAAGCACTAAATGCTGCAGAGTTGAAATTCCAGGATATCATTAATTCTCCAACTGTAGATGCTGCTTGCAGAAAGATAGACAGTTTGGCGGAGAAAAACCAACTTGATTCTGCATTGGTATTGATGATTACAAAAGCTTGGTCGGCTGCAAAGGAGTCGAACATGATGAAAGATGAGGTAATGCGCTTGCTATCCTTGCAATTTGCTGTTGATGCAAACATGTGGTTTTATGGTCTTATATGTATAATCTGGCTGGTTGGCATTAACTGAATTCTGACCATTCAAGAAATTCCAATGATGGTGCTAAGTAAGTAATTACTGAAGCTTACAACAACGCATCAAATACTGTTTTCTGTTTGAATGAAATGATTAAAGCTTATGATGATTCGACATACTTGGATGATTGGATGTATGATAGAAAATTTAAAAACTAGACTTTGAAAACCTATATTGAACAATTGTTAAGAGAGAGAGATTTTAAGCTTGCATCAAACAGTTATTAGAAGTTATTAGAGGGCAGTTACATTGTGATGGCCTCATTGAATAACTTTTCCATCCTTGAGACATCCGACTGAAAAAATACCAACTCTTGATTTCATTAGTTTCTATGTTGGGTCGTATGAGCTTATGGAGAAGGCGGCATGTTTAATTGATGTAACAATGTGGCGTAATGAGTTTTTTATGGCAAAAGTGTTGATGTTGTTTTTTGTTCCTCAGGTGAAAGACATACTATACCACTTGTACGTGACTGCAAGCGGTAACCTTCAAAGATTAATGCCAAAAGAAATTAGGATTTTGAAGTATCTTCTCACAATTGAGGATCCTGAGGAGAGGCTAAGTGGTCTGAAGGATGCATTTACACCTGGAGAAGAACTTGAAGGACAAGATGTGGACTGCTTATACACGTATGCTTTCAAACTTTTTAGAATATATTGAAATTTAAATAAACTATAATACTAATCTATTAGCTTAAACCAAAAATAGTGATTCAATATTGCATCAGAGTTCAAACTTTTGCAGAACTTTTTCCTCCTCGATAATATGATAGTCTATCTTATTGGGTATTGTTCTTCTTTTGAGCTCGCATGTGGGGAAAAACTAAGAGTATGTTAAAAGGTTAGACTATAGTCTAACCTTTTAGCAGCTATTCAGCACTGTTTGAGAGTGATTTTGGATACCTGCCAAAATCACTCTCAAACATAAGCTTAATGCTATTACGCTCCTGTTTTATAGATCTCCCAATCCTTCGATGTTCATCCTGTTAAGAGTATGGATACCACCTGACTTTACAGTTTACACACACAATCAGACCAAAGTCACTGGATGAATAAAAATGTTGGCATTCAATTAGTTATATTGTTTTGGTCTATTATGCAAAATGTTTTTTCAGGCCTTGCTTTTGTTTTATTTTATTTTATTAGGGTTTCTTTTCTTGAACAAATTTAGGACCCCAGAGAAGCTTCGCACGTGGATAAAGACAGTATTGGATGCTTATCATTTCAGTAGGGAAGGCACCCTCATAAAGGAAGCCAGAGACCTTATGAATCCAAAGGTCATTGTTAAACTTGAGGAATTGAAGCATCTGGTTGAGAAAAAATTTATGTGAGCTAAACATCACTATTATTGCACACTGATTCAGAAGGATTTGGCAGTTAGGTATCAATTTCTGTCTTAAGTTATGCGTCAGAAGTTGTATAGTGGATTTTTCCTTTGTTGTATAACAAAATGAATGTGAATAATGGCAATGATATGTATTTAAATTAATTTATTTTCTTCCGAGAATCGAGCATAGTTCGAGTGACTAGATATTTTGTACCTTTTTTCACCGTTTTTATTTGCCATGTAATATTTTTTCTAAGAAAAATGTTTTTCTTGTGCCATTGGCTTATTTTGATTTATCTATTGTATGAAACTTGCCATATTGTTAGGCTTTACTTATGGATGTAAGTGCATATTTTGTATTAATAATAAGATGGAGCTAACATGACATGATAGAAAATCAATGAAAAATTGGAAATAATCCGCTTACAGTTCAATAATATATTTTGTTTTATAATACTGTGAAGTACGTGGATTTGAATAACTGAAAAATGAGTGTATATCATTTGTAGCCAAGCGATGTTTATATTGGCTATTCTATAATGAATTTTCATGTTTAATAGAATAATGTTAAAATATCACGTTATGTTTTTTACGAGGATAAATATTTGAACTTTTGACCTTTTGAGTTGAAGATATACATCAATCATACTAATTAAATATGTCATTTTGAAAATCTCAAAGGTCGTGAGTTCGAATTTCACACCAACATATTTTAAAATTTGAGATGTCAAATTTTAAAATATATTATATATATATAATATTTGAGAGCACGAAAGCTTATAATTTAATCTAGGATTTGTAATAAACCTTTTAAACCATATTTACACGATACCAACTCCCAAAGTTACGGGACAAAACGTACGGGCTATAATTTAACCTACTATTTATTTATTTGAAGAAAGAACGGCGATCCAGAGTTTTCTTGTTAATGCTAAATTCCAGTTTCCAGACGATCAGCTCCCGCGGTTCAAGCTTTCCCCCACCCTTCTGGCCCAACTTCGAATTCAGAATTTGAAGTTATCATTCCCAAAGCTTCAGCATCATCATCTGATTCAATTCCTCCGAGTAGCATGATTAGAAATTGATCGATGACGAATCGAAAGTTCTGCAACTGTGCTATCTGTGAGAATTCAAATCAAGCTTTCATTTGCACTATTTGCGTTAATTACAGGTATGGGCGTTCTTTGAGACTGCAATTAAGTTTCCTGCTCGGCTCCAAGAGACGTTCCATGAACTCCTCTTTTTGGTTCTAATTCTCCGGCAGATTGAATGACTACAACTCAACGTTAAAATCATTGAAAGCTCGGCGGGATTGGTTGTATTCGAGGCTGAGTGACGTGCTTGTGGCAAAGGTTTGGTGCTGTTCATGCTTGATTGTCGTTCGCTTTAGCTTTAAACTGGAGCGTTTTCTGCCTCTCTTTAATTTATCAACTCGTCTTTGGTTTAACTATCGTGGATATATATTTTTTTTCCTAAACTCTTCTACCTAATTACCGTCGAAAGCAGATTTGGAGTCGCGGTACTAGAGATAGCTGACGAGATGTCTGATCCGTCTGTTTACCAATATTTCTTTTGTTGTTTCACCTATTTTTTCAAGCATTCAATCTTATGGTTCTACTTCAGCTTCATGTTGTTCAATTATTGCTGGTCCTGTGCTGTTTTATATTATTTATCCATGAAATGCACTTGCGGCGCAAAGTGGCTTGTTCGAGAAATTTTAGTTCGTTTGATTGTTGCTTCTCAGGGTAAGGCAGACGATCAATTAAACTGGAGAGTGACTCGGAATGAGAAACTTGCAAGGTTAAGGGAGAAACTCCAACGTAGTAGAGAGCAACTCGAGCGAGGTTATCAGACTTCCAAAGAAACTCTTGAAAGCAACATATTTCGTTTGATGTTTGCCAAATTATGAAATGTGCAAGTGCTTATCAAATCTAAGAAATTATTTTATGCCATCAGGGAAGGCTGAGATTGAGATGACGTCCTATGATCTCAAGTTGAAATATGCAATGCTTGAATCAGCCCGTTCAGTGGTACTCCATCATTTATTATTTTTCGAATTATACTAGATGTAATTTCCTTTCCTCCCCTCTATTCCAATATCACACAAGTACTGTTCTTTCTGGAATTCTTGTTGCAGTTGGAAAAACAGCGAGTTGAACAACTGGAAAAGTCCTATCCTGACCTTATTAGCACCAAGAATCTGGGACATGTAAATCCTATATTCCCTTTTAAATATGAACATTAATATCCATCCTGTTTTTTAATAGGTACTTCTTTCTATATATAATTGAATGAGCATACTTGTGTAGATGTATCATTCTGTGTGCACGAACTGTTTAGGTTCAAGCAACATTCATGCTTGAACATATATAGACCTACATGTAAAAAGACCTAATTAGATTATACATATTACATAACATGGTATTATGGGTTCTTTAACATTAAACTATGATATTGTACTGGAGATCAATATCGTCCATGTACTTTACGTTATTTAGTAGGATGGGACCTCTTTCACATACAACTTTATGGTTAATGCAAAAAGTGTTTTATGGAGACAGATGGCAATTACCTCCGAACGCCTTCACAAGCAGTCTGTGGTTGTTAAACAAATATGCAAATTGTTTCCACAACGGCGAGTAAGCTCTTTATCGATAAGTATATCTTCCTTTCTGAGTGCTTAGTACATTCTACTGACTGCTGTTGATTTCATAATGAACCACTTTTTTCCATAGACAACTTGACTACAGTGCCCCACAACTATGAATAGTATAGAGGGGTTGTCTCCAAGGTTCGGGCCTTGGGATGGGTGCGGGTGGCACTAGGTATAGGAGAGCAAAGCTCCGACTCCCAATTAAAAAAAAAAAGAAAAAAAAAATATATATATATATATATAGTGGTGTTGAAACGTGTGCAATGAATAGTATAGTGAGGTTAAAACAAAAGGGTGCCCGCCCTATGTAGGTTGCTTGTAAGAAACTTAATTATCTGCTTGATGTTGCAAAACAGATTTTCTTTTCTCACCGTTTGTTCTAAATAATCTATTATTTTAATTAGAAAAGAACTATTTAACTGTCAGGTGGGCTTACTCTAAAAAATTTTCCTATTTATTTTTTTTTCCTTCTGTAAGTCTAGCCTGTGGTCCATTATGAGTCAATATACAGTTAAAACTGCCAATACACATTTCCTTATATAATGGAGTGCTTGAATCCAGAAGCACCCGAGAGGATTCTGGTAGGAAAAACTATAATGCATAAGTTCTGCATAACCATAGATTCAAATTTACTGATTGCATATGAAATAAAAATCTCCTTTCTCCCTCTGTCCAATATCTTCAAGCTAGATGTGCGGTTAGTTTTAGCCAAGGACTAAAACCTATTAATTTTCAGTCGCATCTATTTGTCAATAAAATTACATAACAGATAACAGGACAGAAATTTTTTACCTGGTAGTATTATGATCAAACTAAAGAAATTGAATTATTTTTCTTTAGTTGTTCAGTTCATTAGTTTAAGATCAACTTACTTTTTATTAGGACAAGAGTCATTTTTTGTTTACTGATGAATGCTTTGGTGCTTTCCCAAATTTTCCTTATATTCCATTTATGCTCTTAGGTGTTGGTTGATGGACAGAAAAATGAGGGAACTGGTGAGCAATTTGATCAAATCTGTAATGTGCGCTTACCAAGAAGACTGGATCCCCACTCTGTTCCACCAAATGAACTTGCTGCTTCTTTGGGGTAACTTCTTCTCTGTTGATGATTGACTTTTGCATATGTATGCTTCTATCAGTACGTTACAATACAGTTTTATTATAATTATGCGGCCTTGGATTTATTTATATTCTTCCTGCTGGGGGTATGCGGTCTCATCTTACTCTCAATTGTTAAGGGCTTCCTTCTGCCTTCAATTATTATTGAATTTTTTCTTCTAATTGAAGTCTCCTTGGTTTTTAACTGACAGATACATGGTGCAACTTCTAAATCTTATTGTTCAAAATTTGGCTGCTCCTGCACTTCACAACTCAGGTTTTGCGGTATGATGTGCACTTTGCTGAATTGCTCTCTCTTTGATGGCTCAGCCAAAATATTCGACAAAAAAGAAAAACCTGTGGCTTATCAAGTCACTGGAAATTATTTTATAACCTTTTTTGTTTTTTAGATCACGGGATGCTAAAGTTGTGAATTTTTATTGATAATAGAGATGATATTTTAATTGAACATAGGGAATTGTGGATAAGGATAACTGATAACAATAGCTACAAACTCTTCTTTATATTCCTGGAGATGTAAGGGGTTTAGTAAACTTTTATTATAAGAAATGCAGTGATTTCATCTATATGTCATTCAAATTTAAATTAATCATTTTCTGGTATTCATTCTTAGTTATTATTTGTGACACGCACTCCTCTTTCAATTCACTTATACACAATATTGCAGGGTTCTTGTTCACGCATATGGCAAAGGGACTCGTATTGGAATGCTCGTCCATCTTCTCGTAGGTAAGTTGGTTGAGTATGCAACCTGCATCACCAATTCTTATTTGTTAGCTTTTGGACTGAAAGTGATAAATTTTGCAGCAATGAGTATCCACTTTTTATACCACGCCAAAACTACTGTTCAACAAGTGGGGAAAATTCATGGTCTGATAAAAGCTCTAGTAACTTTGGTGTTGCTTCGATGGAATCAGAGAAGAAACCACATTTAGGTTCACTAGAAAGTAGTAGCTTCAATTATTCTTCAGCTTCTCCGCATTCTATTGAAACACACAAGGATTTGCAGAAAGGGATTGCCCTCCTCAAGAAAAGTGTAGCATGCATCACTGCATACTTTTATAACTCTCTGTCTTTAGATGTTCCTTCTGAAGCTTCTACTTTTGAAGCATTTGCTAAATTATTGGCTACTCTTTCTTCATCCAAGGAAGTGCGTTCTGTTTATTCCCTCAAAATGGATTCTTCCAGGTATTTCCTTCCCATTTTTCACTTTTAAGATTTAAGGTTCTCTCTGACATTTGAACTTGCTTCACCATGTTTTGTTTTTTATACACGAAGTATAGTAGAAACGGAAAAATATTTCATTTAGATAATTATTTTTAGTCTTACAGCTTACCCTTTCTGATACATATTGATATGGGTATATCTTCCGCATTCAAGGTCCCCTAAGCACGTTCAGAAACTGAACAAATCTGCATGGAACGTGGATTCTGACTTTCCATCAAGCATGCTGCTCGATAGCGTGCATACGTTAATAATGGTATGAATTTGCAACTTGACGTTGATTGAGTATATTGCTTGCATCAGTAAGTTATTGGTGGTCTTTTCTATCGTCTGTTGTTAAAGAATCTATTGAACTTTCAATAAATGGAAAACTACCATTTTAGTCTCCCTTTCCTTTAAGATGACCCTCATTTGGTTTCTATACTTTGAAGTTAGTTAGTTATCATCATAATTCATCATGATGTTAAATGGTTCTAAAGTTTCATCAACATTCTCATTGAAGCTGAAATAGGTTAGCTGACTTGGATTCTAAAATTTTAAGTGGAGATGCCTAGCAAAATTTTCTGCCTGCCAATACTTATCACTATTATTTCTTCCACATTGTTGCAGCATCTTCTTTGTCACTTTTTTTTTTCATCTTCCTTGGTTATTCCTATTATTATTCCTCTTCCTTCATTCTTTTTCAAAATGTAAAATCATTGAAACCCATGTTAGTTTACACCCCTACATAGGAAAAGGTAAAAGATGGAAGGAAAAGTTACACTCTTACATTAGTACAAGTGAAGGGAACTCCAATTTTGTTTTTCCTCGTTGACACAAATAGAGGGGGGAGGGGAGGAGGGTAGGATTGGAAGAAGAGTAATGAACAGAGAATAAAATAAGGAAAGAATGCTGAATAAGAAGGTGAATGGAAAAAATAGATGATATTGCATCATTAATTTTTGTTGAGTAATATAATTTCATGTTAGGTTTCAGTTTGAGCCTTCAACAGAAAAGTTGATGGACTCCCTTGGCGCCTCCATAAAGATATTAGTTCTGCTTTTATTTCTTTTTCTTTTCTCCCTGATGAGTTGGCTTGATAGAAATAGGTAGGGTAATGTCCTATAAGGGATAGTGCCCTTCTTTAGATGATCTAGAGGGAAACAGAATATTTTACATGCTAAGAGATGGAGGAAAGACATTTGGGACTGAAAAGCTTTGGTTGTTTCCTCCAAATGCTTTTGTTAGCTATTCCTTTTTCAATTTAGGTTCCAGTTAGAATGGTTTTTGTACTCCCGTACCCAAGATTTCTTTTGTAATTCCATTCACTTAACGAAATTGTTTTGCTTTCTATAGAACAGAAAAAAGTGTTGATAATACAAAGTACGAAGTGAGAAGAGTACCCAATTGAAAAAGAGGGTCCAAATGAGAACAACTTAAAGTAGGACTGAGGAGATAGTTTTCCCTAGTAGCTCTCCTCTCTTATCCCTGGGGGACTGTACCCGTGTTGTACGTGTGCACGATCAATTTCATGTTATCCGGCGCACTGTTTTCACTGAGCATCCTGTTATCCATCGAATGTAAAGAAAAGTATATAGCAAACGATTCAAGTTCTACTCTATTTGTATATCTGCATAAAGGACTTGGTTTTGTTATTTTATTATTATTATTATTTATTTATTTTTTGTGTATTGATGCAGAAAAACAATTGTGAGAGTAACCTTCCAAGTTCTGCTGCGAGTTACCTTTATGCCACTGAATTTTCCGATGTTGGAAAGAATGATTGCAGCATAGAAGGATGGGATCTCGTGGAGCATCCAACTTTTCCTCCTCCACCTTCCCAAGCTGAAGATATTGAGCATTGGACTCGAGCAATGTTCATCGATGCCACCAGAAAGTAATTTAATGGGTAACTAAAACTAACTCTGTTATCTAATTTTTGTAAATTAGACCATCTCCCTCTTCAAAAAATTTTTTTAATAAAAATCTTCTCAAGCAGTTTGTTTTTGGAGATTATGTTATGTAAAAGCACACATCTATGTATATAAACACAAGATTGTTTGAACAACAGCAAATTACTGGTTTTCTAAGATCATTATGAAAAAGGAAGAAAAGACACAAAAGATAGTCGTATTACTATTAGAAAAGCTCCAGATCTGGAGCATTAAGCCATTTGTTTTTATTAATAGTTCAATTCTTCATGGTCCATCATAACATTATCATATTTAGATTCTGAACACATTTTCTAGTTATCCTCTGACTTTAATAACATTTGGTCTCAGGTGCCATGGAGATAGCGCGAGAGAAGTTCTTGGAACAACTCAATGCATCTCTGGTGCATGATCGATCAGCTTTGGACCTGTAAATATGGAGACTTAAAAAGGGTACAGATCTGAACATATTTAGATTTAGACGAACTACTACTATTATTCCATCATCTTATATTCTGGATATATTTTAGATTTAGGAAAATTTCTATTGTTGTTCTATAATCTTAGACAATAGCCATAGTATTCGGAAAATTCTTAAATGGGTGCACATGGAGGCAGGAGTTGGGTTGTGGGGATGTGATGTCTTTCAAATGTACATATAAATTGGCTAGAACTGGTTGAATTGAACAAAGGAACTTCAATATAATATAAAACCATCTGCATACAAACGCTATGACTCTAAGATAGCGATGCATTGTTTAGTCAAATTGTCTTGTTGAGAGCTTTTAGTCTCCAAAACGTACAATTGGAGGCATGTCTCATTAGTCCGGAAACATAATTAGAAAGTGCTTTCACAGTTAGCATATTTCTTGCCTCTTCATTACTCTTTTACTTCTTTCTCTTCTTTGGTGGTGGGAGGGTTTCTTCGTCCTCTTCTCCTTCAAAGTTGTCTTCTTCTTCTGCATCTGCATCATCTTCATCAACGTCTTCATCGTCCTCATTATTGTCTTCATCGTTATCGTCGCTCCCACCATCATCATTATCGTCGTCACCACCATCACCGCTGTTATCACTTCCACCATCGTCATTATCGTTGCTGTTGCCAGCATCTCCTCCTCCATTAGCGCCTTCTTTAATGGGGGCATTTTTACCTTCCTCTTCTCCATTTTCAAGCACATCTTCATCTTCTCCGAGATCATTATCACTGTAGTTGTTTTCATTTTCATTTCCTTCTCCATCCACTGGTTTCCTCTGGCATTTCCTTTTCTCGTTGGCATTCGAATTCAGGAACTGTACGCAAAAGAAATTTGAATTTCACGGGGAAGAAAAAGCTACAATGAATTATCAAAAAAACCAAAAGGGGACCAAAATATAAAACCAGAAAGTGACCAAATAAAATGGAACTACGGAAAGTGGGGCGTTGTCCCCTCCCTGAATCTGCATGGGATTCTTTCCTGGTCCACTATGGTCTGGTTAGGACAAATTTGGCCACACAGAGCTTATAGATAAAAGAAAATTGCAGCGTATCACCCATCTTATAATACTAAATGATACTTATCTAGTTTCAAAATTAACTATAAACGAGAAACATATCATCTGTCACTCTTATGATATATTAATTACAAAGATACAAATAACTATCATATTAATTTGTTAGCTAACTTATTTTGTTTTTCTTTATCAAAAAAAAAAAGAAAGAAAAAAAACGAACTGTCTTTCGAATACTATTATGTTTCGCTTATGTAGATGAACAAGTGGCATGCTACTATTAATTATATAAAAAAAAATCCAATAAACTATAATGTTATAAAGAATCCAGGTTATTAATTACCTTTAGAAATTAAATGTTCGAAGTAAAAAATTATGTTACTGAAGAGCCATAAATTACAAATTGTTTTTAAGCGCTTGTTTTGTTGTATTTTAGATTGACATAATTATAATTATTTTTACGAAGTAATAAATACTTTGTATTACTTTGTAAAAATGAATGTGTACATATAATATAAAAGCAATTTACTAATATCAAATGTGACGTAACTTACCTTCTAATGTTTGTGACATTTTTCAATTTTTTGTTTGTAATCTTTTGAAGTTTATTTATTTATTTTTAGTGCAAGAGTGAATGTTTTAATTTGATCCTTTTATGTATGAAATGTTTTCCAATCAAAACTTTACTGATCTGAATTTCTTAAAGTTAATTGATAAAATGATGGCATGACCTCAAAATATATTCATTGTCGTAGTTTAAAATACCTTATATTTTATTTCTTTTAGTACACCAACATGTGGGGATGAGAGTTTGAACAGATAACTTTTTAGTCTCAATAATACATTACTTGACGAGTTGAGCTAGATTCTAGTTGATCTTTATATTTTAATCAATTAAATAGACATATTCACTTAGAAAATCAACTCTTGCGCGCTACCTCACTAGCAATAACTTTCCTCTAAAAAAAATATAGGGGTTAAATATATTATAATATTAACCATGGAAGATTTCATTTTAAAAAAAAAAATCATAATAAAATCCATACAACATCATTTTTAAACTATTTTTTAAATTTAAAAAAATCAATTAAAAAAAATCAAAACTTAATAAGAAAAAATAAGAGACAACTGAAAGTTGATTCAACTATTTTAGAATTATATATTTAGCCGAAAATAAAATCTCTCTCCAAAAGTTTTCACATTTAAAAACTAGTTTGTACGTAAAAGCAATTACAAAAAAAAAATATATATTTTTTTTAAAAGAAAAGAAAATATTAAGAATAGCGTACAAAATAGACCTCGTGTATCTTACCTTTCTTGAAACGACGGGGATCGAAGAAACTAGAGTTCAAATAAGACAAACTTTGATTTATAGACTTTTCGGTGGTCTTTTTCTTCTATTCCAGTCTCTAATCATGTTCAGTATAATGATAAAAATAATCACCACTAGCTGTCGTCTTCTTGGAAAAACAATTCAAAAAGTAAAGAACACGAGGAATTTTTCTGACTTTTTTTTTCAATTAAATTGCAGCAGTTTATTAAAAATGAGAAGAATAGATTCTGTGTCCATAAAAAACTATAGGCGCAGAATCAATATTCCAAACGTGATCGCTAATGAAGTCGAAAGAAGACGAGAGTGTAAAATAAAAAGAGAGAAAACATAGTAACTTCACCTGAGACGAAGCTAGCAACTCGGCCATGGCCATGAGGCTAAGCAGCATGGCCGAAATTCCTCCGGCGCACGTTAGCAGCAAGCGCCGGTGTACAGAAGAACTTTCGGTCTCCATTTTTGTACGACCTGCAACGGAGAGAACGCGGAGACGACGTACACCGTTAGATCTGTTCGCAAATCCAGTCCAAGCAACCGCGAGATCGTAAAAGAAAAACAGTTAAAAGCTCGTAAAACTCATTCTCCGACGAGAAAATAAAGAAACAAGAGGAAGAGAAACATTCAGGCAAAATCGAAAACCTAAAATCATCTCTGCCAGATCTGAAACCAAATCAGTAAGACGCAGAAGAATTAAAGAAGAAGAAGAAGAAGAAGAAAACGTACGAGAGCGCGGCCTGAATTGCACCTGAAAAGCTCAGCGCAGCGAGAAGTTTCCGAGAAAACTGAAGGAAAACGAGCGAGAAAACAGCGGGAAAGTGAAAGAAAATGAAGTGGCGAGAGAAAAGAAAAGCGGAGGATCGATGTAATGTATATGCAAGGAAGAGAGTGTGAGTGAGTAGCGAGTGAACTTTGAATTGATGACGTGTTTGATTAACGGCCGTCGGATTAAGTTACATTAGAGGCCGAGAAGATGATGATGAAGAAGAGGGGAAGGAATATGAGAAATGGGGGTGTTTGGTTACGGGGTTGGAGATGGAGATGGTGGGAATAGAATAACGTATCAATTCCAAAGGGTATCATACGTCCCTTTTACACCACCTTTTCTTTTTTCATAAAGGAGAGATTCTTTCTAACCTTTTCCATCACAAATATCTTTCTTCCTACATAATATCACATTTCTTTTGGGCAAAATTCAAAGATAAACATGGTACCAAATATTAGCTCAATGAGTTCATGGATAACCTCTGGAAAAATCTATCGTGAGTAACATCAGTTTAACTAATCAAGTCGAATAGTTTATTCTATATATGATACTACATATGTATTAAAGTAGAACATCGATAACCTTTCTTGGAGTAGTTATTTGAATAGGTGTCTGAATAGATACATCATAGGGTAAGGTAGCTTGGAAGATTTACTTCTATAGAGATTGATCATCTTTTAGTTCACTATAGATGATAAACATCGTATCTAAAAGACATCAGGTTTTGATTTTTGGGAGGCTGGATATGATAGTGAAATGAAGTAATCTACTAATATTGGGCATGTCAACTCGAGCAACAATACAACACAGCACTACAAAAATTTCATTTTAAACACCATTTTTTTTAAAGTGAAAAATATATTTAGTACTTGATTGTTTTCTAGGATTGTTCATGAGAAGAGAGTCAATTTTACAAGCTGTGGGGCATTTCTAGTACATAAATTCTATGTAAAGGTAAACAAGAAAATTATCTAGTTAAGTAGTGCATTTCCTTCAATTATCCAAGCCCATTAATTGCGCCTAGGAGCTTGGCGGGCCCAGAAATAAGTGGGCTGTGAATTTCAAGTGACGCCTAATAGGAGCTTCAGCCCATTGGGCCGGAGAAGGCCCGTCTTTCGTTTTCAAGTAATAGAGAATAACCCATAGTTGCTTTGGAGTGATTGATGGGCTTGGATAATTACCCATATTACTCAACAAAAAGTCGACAGAGATTGTAGTGTGTCTTTTAATTTAGATATTACAAATATGATTACATCTTCCTGATCAAGTATCTAATTTCAAAGTGAATTTTAATTTTTGCTAAGTGGTTAATGAAAACTAATCTCAAGAACTAAAATATTTTTTTTTACTTTAAAGATTCAGAACCTTTGTCAAAAAAAAATCATAGAATATTTAAGAATTAACCGTTGAGATATCTTGCTCTTTTTTTGGAAGTTGGAGGTTCAATCTCATATCCCCACATTGAGATTTTTTTTTAGTAAAAACGATCTTATAGTCAAAGGTAGATGCCTTAACTAGTTGAGTTATATTCCGATAAATGCGAATGTTTAGATTTAAACTACTAAAAAGGGAAAATAGAAATTATAATGGCGGTGGCGAATGTGGTGAGTCCACATTAAATTGAGGGGAAATGCAATAATTTTGTGGGGAAATGAAAGTTGTTTCATTATATATATTTGGGTTTTGAGTGGCAAATTCATCACTCTTAGCTTTAACACGAAAAGGTTTGCTCCCTTTTTCCCCTTTGCTTTTATTTCTTTGGATGCATTACGTTGTCTGTATTATTTGCATCTCTCGTTCCTCAATTATTTGGCTATTCCTTAATCGAGAATCTAAATGGGTTTTTTATTTTAAAAAAATAAAAAAAATATCTCTCTCACAGAAATTATTTAGCACTCTCCTGTAAGGATAAAATGTACGATAAAAAATAAATTTTTTATTTTTAACTTAATGGTATAAAATTGACAACTATGTTATACCCATAATTGTACACTATTCTCTCTTATTCCATTATTTAGCTAGTTCTTATTTAATAATCTTTTTTAATTAAAAAATAAAAAAAGAAGAAAAATTATCTCTCTAGGTTCTCAATTATTTGGCTCTTCCTTAGTTAAGAATCTAAATGTTTTTTTTTAATTTATTTTAAAAATGATATAAAAGGGAAGGAAAAAAAAAGAAAAAAGAAAACTTTGCACTTTATATAGACCACATGGAAGGCAACAGAAACAGGAAGAATTTTTTAAAAAAGAGAGAGCAATTACAATGGTTGAGAGTGTTTCCTTCTCTTGCACCACCAAATCCAACATTCCAAGAATAGATTGCATTTTCACATTCCTTTAACTACAATTTTTAATTAATTAATTAATGCACCTTCTTAAAAACCAAATTATTATAAGGGATAATTGCATAAATTACTTTATTAAAACAATACTTAAATGAGATGTTATAAGCCAAAACGAGCCTGACTCAATGATAATTAGTATGTATCCCCCAATCAAGATGTGAGTTTCATCCCTCCACATGTTGTGTTGAAAAAAATTAGGATGTTAATTTTTTTTTTATTTGTCAATTACTTATTGATTAGCATATTCTATACAGAAAACGTTAAAATCAACTACAATTTTAAATCAAGGTAAAATTTTCAATTCAATAATAGTAGATAAAACATCTATTACCATTTAAGTACAATCTCTTAACGGGAGATATATGTAAATTAGTGTTAAAAGCCGGGGTTTTGAACTAAAAAGTAAAAGTAAAATTGGACTTAATATTTTAAATTTTATTAAAGAAAATGGCCTCCCATCATATTTTTTGTTTATTATAATTATTCCGTAAAAAGTGACGAGATTTGGTGAAATTCATGACTACCTTTGCCATATTCTATATTCAACGAAAGATATAAAGAGATTCTCTTTATAAAATTAGGAGAAAGAGAGCTAGATTCTCCAGCGGTTTCTTGGTTTAAAATATTTAAGTGTTTGGTCTAATCTTATATGTAGAAAAATACGCACTTTGTGCAGAGGAATATTATAATAAATCAGTTTTTTTTTCTCTTATAGAATAATAATTTTGTAATTTTAGACGTGTCTTGTAATCACGTTTTTAGTTTTATATTTTCAAAACTAAATTTGTTCACTACAACTTGAATGTTGAACTTTATTTCTCCGGAAAAAAAAAAGTACAGTTTTCAGATTTAAAATTTTGGCAAAGATTCTAAAACCATTCTCTAAAACCATTTCTATAGTACTAAAAAAATAGATAAAATATATAAAAAAAAATCAACATATTGATCTAATATTAATAATAATAAAAAATTTTAACCATTTTCAAGAGTGTAAAGCACTTATTTGTTAATTTAAATTAATTATTATGAAATTTTTAAAATAAAAAAATAATTGATTAACATGATATTTTAATCAACAATGTAATAAAGTTGATCTCAATATTTCTGTCCCTTCATTTATGTGGAATGGGGGTTTATATGCTTCTGTTTTTTTTTTAAATATTACACGATCGAATTGATAAAAATAATAAGAGTTAAATTCTCCTATGATTTCTAAATTTCATATTTACAAAATTTTTAAATATTATTTCTTAATTCAACTTTTAAACGTTCCCTTTTTTTTACTTGCCCTTAGTTACAAAAATATCTTTTTTATTTTTTTGAAAAATACTTTCATTATTTAAGAAAGTAAAAATACATTTGTCTTTCTTAGTTATCAAACATTGAATGAGGGAAGGATAATAATGGTCCTTACTAATTAGAACCTAAATATTTTATTTATTTATTTATTTATTTTAAGAATAATACACCACAATAAAGATTTTAACAAACAATTTCTTTTAATAGAAATTCTTTAATTATTGAATTATGAAAAATATAAATAAACAAAGAGTGAAT